CCCTTCTTTTCTGACCCACAACCCTTCTTTTCTGACCCACAACCCTTTTTTTTCTGACCCACAAACCTTCTCCTTTCTTTCTGACCCAGAACCGCGATCCGCCCGCTTTCTTTTTGACCCCTAGCCGCATCGCCCTTGTCTATAGCGACCCTTCTTCTTTCAATTGGATCCGCAAGCCTTCAGTTTTGATCCATATATCTCGTGAAGTAAGGGCAGAAATACATTAGACAACACAGTCAAAAACAACATTGCTCAACACTTATTGCAGGCTCAATGATTAAAATTAGCTATTTCCGATGTATCACACGATCACTCAAACCTTCAACGCTAGAGGTGGTGAAATTAAGCTGAGTATTGTAAAACAATCTTCTAAATTGACTGGTGCCTTCATCAGCTTGTTTAGAGCACCTAGAAGTGGCAAAAACCTAAACCGTTTCTTGCCAGATATGTATACAAGCGATGGAACAACTTCTACAATCCAATGATATATGGAAGAATTAATGACACAGGGGCCGCCAACACAGAAGACTAATATGGTAGAGGTTTCCAAGATGCAACACGTAGTTTAAGTTGGCAAATTCAATTGAGCAACTCACAGAAATATCCAGAATTTGAAAGTCAAAGTTTATCAGAAGCGTTTTGTTATTTAAGAAGAGCTATACATTACATGAGCCCAGACATAAATAGTTTTTAAGTTGTTCTTATCAACAATACAGAAGTAAAAAATTCGTTATAGGTATGTCATTTGAGAAAATGGCGGACGTCAATTTGACCGGATACAACGCAAAAATGTCGGGAATTACAAATTTCACTATTAAGGGAACAGAAGGAGCACTTGACCCTAATGAGCAATTTACGAGGTTTTCGGCCACATGCTTTCATAGACTGTTCTGGAATTGAGAGAAAGCGGAAGTGTTGTACATGATGAAAAAATCTATATAATACTATATACAATGATGAAATACGAAAAAAGAAATGCAAAGACTGGCAACCGTGTTCATCTTCAAAAGCAGTTAATGAACTTCAGCCCCTTTGATTTGAGGGATACTTCATACCTAGACCATTTACATACAGAATCGAAATTAAGGCAGTCAAGGGAAGCAAGGCTTTTATTAAGAAAAGACATGATAGAAGCGAACAAGAGGTCTAATTATGGACAGAATAACTAATGAGTTATCTCCTCCAAACTTACCTTACATGTCAAAGCAACATTTAGAAGACAGAGTTAAACCACTTAAACATCTGGCGACATCCTTCTCTAAACTTTCCCCTTGGGTGGCTCACCAAAGGGCA